TGCTCAATAAATCTATAGCCTAAATTCAATGTGATCTACCAAGAAGTAGTAACAAGCAGCAGCGAGACACAAATGAAACACAGCAGTTGTTTAATAGCATATAAAATTTAAGCACATACTTGTACTGTGGCACATCTTCTCTTTTATCTTTTGATAAATACAAGAAAATAAAGATAAAATGCAGTAAATATGATCAACTACACAATACAGCATTTTCAAATAATATAGCAGAGAAAGAGAGAATGGTACACAAAATATTGTTGCATGGAAAAAACCCCACAGGGAATAAAAAAAATTTCTTTTGAAAAAAGAGTTGCAGCTAACATATCAGCCAAAGAATTGTTAGGCCTGGCTCATGGGAACACCTACAAACTTACTCAGTCTCATTGACTTAGTATACTTTCTCTTCCATTTCAAAGAATATATGTAATTTCACATATCAAAAAGCAGTAATGCTGCTCCAAAAGGCAGTGAGATGTTTCCCATGCTGGGTTAATATCCTGGGATGCAGAGGAAGCCAGAAAGAACAATTCACACCAGTGGCAATGGTGTTATGCATACGCACTCAGTGCTGCTTTGCAGTTAGCACTTGGCTAAGTTTGTTGTATTAAAAATAACTCACTGATTAAAATGATTTCATTATTTTTAGGGTTCAGTTTAACACTTTAATATACAAGGCTTTGCAAAGTGATAACAAAATTCAGATCAGCTCCCTGCTGGGAGCAGGACCTGGTGACTTAAAAGTCAGCTAGTTTCCTGCATGAATTGTTTACTTACAAAACGTTTTCTCAATAAATATGTTAGAAGCAGCAAAAACAGACCTCCCTTGTTTGCAAACTTAACTAAAGTGTTACCCTGTTTCCCCTGGGAGTTGTCTTCTAAGTGTTTGCACAAGGCTCAGGTAAGCCTCACTGCTCCATCAGCAGATTCTTTGTTCTCACTATAAATCCCTCTGCTACATGTGCTTTTCCAACAACTGCTTTGCTTGGAAAAGTGGATCTGGACATCTTTTGTGAGTGCAGAATGTAAATGAGCCTTTGACCTCCAAAGACCAATAGGTGTGTGGTATCTTTACCTCCTCCTGTGGAAAGTTTCTCTCTGGACATTTTAATTGGTCATCAAAATGGTGCCTTGGGATGAGTTGAAGTACCTGACTGTGGACTCGAGGCCTAGTCACCTGTCTTGGGAGCCAAAAGTCATGAAATGTCACCAGTCATATCACTCCTTTATGTACCTTTGGTATACACACAGACATAACTTTTTATCCATGCCACCTACATGGCCTTTCCATGCTCTATGGCTATTTTTGAAATAACAGTATTCCTACTGACTTCAGTTAAGATTTCCCCTCATGAGCAAGACATACCACTGGTTATAACAATGAGAAAAACCTGAAGAAGAAGCAGGATGCTGTTAAAACATGAATTTGGTGATTACAAAGTTTGATTAACACAGAGAAGCCAAGTCTCACTCTTATGTTACAAACAGAAGGTTTCCTGTACTGCTTTACCAGTGTATTTCCTTTCAACACAGTGGACTGTTTCTGGGATGTATTCTACACCTAGTTTTACTGCTGATGTGGATATAGAAATATGTATAAAGTGTTTATGTGCCATAGCTCACTGGAAATTATCTGTCAGCTCCAGATGTGGATAACTGTTGAATAAAAGCAGATCATCAATTGATTTTTGCAAAGGCTGTGGAATGACAATTTGACAGTAATTTGGAGCACATCTTGAATGCACATAGCATGACTTTGAGACAGCAGCCTAGACAAAAAGGACACTGTCACCCAATGCCCTCTATCCCCTTCAATACATACTAGCCTTTCTGCAGTTTTAAAATGCTACATGCCATTGAGCAGCTTCTGTGAATAATGATGGAGTTGGTTTTGTAATTTCTCTAGCTTGTTACGGATGTGTTCACACATAGCACATCCTTATTTTCTGTCTGAAAACTTGAGGATGGTCTATGTGAAGTGAAGAGAGATGTACTTCCAAACAGTGACAACTTCCATGTCCCTTAGGCACCCATCATAGGAGTGAAGGGGATATGTTGGATCACCTGGAGGTATCCAGGTCTCCCTGTGATTTATATAGAATAAGCCCAGCAGACCAGAGCAAACGCAGAACTTTGACAATGCTAAATTTAAGAGCAATCTGTTCCAGCCTCTGTGAGCTGGCAGATGAGTGGACTGAGAGAAAAACTTTTCATATCCATCTAGCTTTTGCAATGATACAGAATTCAACCTCCACACAACATTAAAACAAACAAAGGACAGGAATGATTTGGCCAAACACAGACCTCTGCACAGATGTCTCTTGCTTGCTTTCTCTTTAAAGCTGACAATAGACAGAAACTTTTGCATTACTCTTCTTAGGTGATTGAATGCTAATAGAAGGGGTTAGATAATTTGTTAAATTAACCAATTAAATGAGTTAGATAAATGGTGTGTTCCAAGTATTTTCTCTTTCTTCACCTAATTTGAAAAGGGAGGATAGCATGAGAGGTACAAAACCTAAAATGAAAGCAATAACATAAATAAAATAAACTACAAAAATTTCTTTTCATGCCTAACCTATTTTCTGACTCACCAAACATTCATATTCTTGTTTCCAGTTTTATTTTGTATTAAACATTCAAACTTTGAGTTGGACACTCCCTGGGAAGGTGGTTATTGAAAGTACCTTTATAAATACTCTTGTAGCTTGCATCTGATTGTAGGATTGAGGTGAGGCATAAATGATGCCAAAAGGCACTCTACATTGCTGTCACTGAAACCTGAAGAGTCTAGCTTCCTCTTCCATGGAAGCAGAGCCTTAAAATTTGGGGCTTGAATTATTTTTAAATAGTTCAGTGGTGTCTGAGGCACATAAAACATGTGTGTACGTGTGCATTTCTGTATGTGTGCACAGGTGCATGCAGGTGTATGAATCACCTAGAAGCTGGTCATCCTGGCATGTCCCTTGTGGAAATCAGGGTTGTGTGGTGGCTTGTCTGCCACTGCAGTTAGCAACCAAAATGCATTCTATATTAAACTTATAGATTTCTATATTTGAAATTTATTATAAATGCATAGAATTTATATTAAAGCATTATACAAAAAGCACCTTACATAGCAACTATTTGCATATTTTCTGGACTTTTAGAATTATATTTGACCACCTAGTAAAAGTCAGCAACTCTATTTTCTACTGCATCTGAACAATCCCAGGTACCATCTAGCGTGGAGCCTTGCTGGAAACCTGAGGAGACCAGATGGAGTAACAGCAATTTTAGTGATTATTGCAGAAGGTCTGACTGGAAGAGGTGGTTGGGAGAGAAAGCACTTGTGCACCAAATTAAATTATATGACACTTCCTTTGCAATACACCAAGAGGCACCACAGTGTGCTGGAGTAGGTACTCGTCAAGATCAATTAAAAACAGGGCTGCCCTTATGACATGCTAGGAATTCAAACATGACATTGAAAGCATAACCCAGCTGGCCTGGGGCTAGGGCAAGACACACTGCCTGGTTTTCTGTGAGAAATCAAGCCAGGGCTCATCCTGAGCGAGTGGGCTCACAGCACCTACCTCACCATGGCCTTCATGTCTGCAGAGGTAACAAGGCACACAGCAGAGCGGGCCTGAGTCACAAAGCACAACATCCAATAATTCAACATCCTGGAGGGAAGGGATGCCCTCCAGAGGGACCTGACACACTTGAGAGGTGGGCTGGTGTGAATCTCATGAGGTTCAACAAAGCAAAGTGCGAAGTCCTGCACCTGGATTGTGGCAATCCCAGACACACCTACATGTTGGACTGAGGGCCGCACTGTGGAGAAAGGTGTGATGGCTGATGAAAAACTCAACACGAGCCAGCAGTGTGCACTCATAGTCCAGAAAACCAATGGAATCCTGGGCTGCATCAAAAGCAGTGTGGCCAACAGGGTCAGGGAGGTGTTTCACCCCCTGTTCTGGTGAGATCCCACCTGTAGTACTGTGTACAATTATGGTGTGCCCAGCGTAAGGATGACATGAAAGTTTTGAAGCAAGTCCAGACTAGAGCATCTCCCCTATGAATGCTGAGCAAGTTGGGGCTGTTCAGTCTGGAAAAGAGATGGTTTTGTGAAGACCTCATGGCAACCTTCCAGTATCTGAAGGGGCTGACAGGGAAGCTGCTGAGACTCGGCATCTGTCCTTGTTGTAATAGGACAAGGAGTAATGGGTACAAACTGAAAGAAGGGAAATTTATGTTAGACATCGGGAAGAAATTCTTAACTGTGAGGACGGTGAGACACTGGAACAGGTTGCCCAGAGAAGCCGCGGATGCCCCATCCCTGGCACTGTTCAAGGCCAGGTTGGATGGAGCTTTGAGCAACCTGGTCTAGTTGGGGGTCTAGTTGGAACCCCCTGGTCTGGGGGTCCCTACGCACGGCAGTGGGGCTGGGGCCAGATGATCTTTGAGGGCCCTCCCAACCCCTGTCATTCCAGCATTCTCCTATCCCACAGCAAACCCTCCGAGCCGCCGCTCGCCGGGCCCGCCCCACGCCGGGGCTCGGGCAGGCGCAGCCGCCGGCCCCGCCCCCGCCGCGCCGCTTCCCCCGGTTCCCGCCCCCGCCGCCCTCCGTGCGCGCTGCTTCCGGCGGCGCCCGGCGCGGCGGCGGCTCCGGCGGCCCGGGCAGCTCCGCCCTCCGGACGGGGTAGGGTGGCGGCGGCGGCGGCGCTGCCGGGCGGGCGCGGGGGGGCCGCAGCGCCGGGCCCAGCAGCAGCCCCGGTGCGGGGCCGGCCCTGCGCGGCGGGGGCGGGCGGCCGCGGGTGTCCGCTCCCCGTCCGCCCGTCCAGGGCTGGCTGGCGGGGCCGGGCCGGGCCGGGCCGGGCCGGTGCTGCTGTCGGGGAGGGGACGCGGAAGGCATCGGCGGCACCGGGCAGTCCCGTCCGCTGTCCCTAGGCCTCGGCGGGAGCTGTCCCCCCCGGGGAAGGGAGCGCGGGTGCCCGAGGAGTGGGAAGGGGTAGGGATGGGATGGAGCAGGGAGTCCGGGAGGAGCAGTGCTGGGACCAGACAAAGCGGGCACGGCTGGGCACAGGTTCTGCTCCTCTCCCCTGCGGGTCCTCCGCCGCTGCTCGGTCCCTGCAGTGTTCCACACTTACACGGCTTCACCCCGATCACAACGCGACAGAAAGCAGAATAGGAGCTGTACTAGCGATACTATTTTATTTTTTAGGTGTGTACTTTGGAGTGCTTCACTTCTTGTGGATTGTTATTTGCTACCAGTGCAGGCTGACAAATGGACATCAATTGGATGTGAACGGACATGATTAGGACGGGAGAACACAGTTTAAGCTGTGCCAGGGGAGAATTAAGTTGGATATGAGGAAGAATTTGTCCACCAAAGGGGTGGCTAGACACTGGAATGGGCTTCCCAGGGAGGTGATGGAGTCACTGTCCTTGCAGGTTCTTAAGGAAACATGGCACTTAGTGCAATGGTCTGGGTGACATGGTGCTTTTAGGTCTAGGTTGAACTTGATGATCTCGGAGGCCTTTTCTAACCCAATTGATTCATTAATTTTGTGACAGTGGGAGGTACCAACTACCTAAAAGCTATGGTACCAACTGGCCTGAAAGCTGTGATCTGTGCAGTGAGGAAGCCGCTGACCAACAAGTGAATGTTGTACAGAGTATAAGAGTATCAATATCATACTGCATGGAGAGGCAGTATGATATCTCAAGAGAAAAGTGAAAAGACAAATGCACACAAATTTCTTTTTAAAAGTAGTATGGGGAATTTCAATTTTTTTTATTTACACGGAGGGGAGAGTTTCACCACAGCTGGAAGGGTTGTTGGTCAGAATGAAGTGGCATAATGCTGGTAACTTTAGGCTGTTAATAGGAAGGGCTACCTGATGATTTACTCACGTTGAGAAACAATTTCTGTTATCTGAGAAAGCTGCCTCCATAAGACAGGGTGGCCACTTTGGATGTGTAATAGGTGCCAAAGGAACTTTTGTCTCCATTGCATCTCTGTGCTGAACCACATCATGAGTCTGGTCCTAGCAGGAATGCAGTCAGTGAAGTAACCAGAAATTCTTGGATTTTGCCTGTTTTGGTGCTCATGAAGGCAATGTAAGATTTTAGATAGCTAAAATTGTCATATATTGCAATTTTTTTTCAAACAGTAGAATTATTAGTTAGAAGTGTGTGTGAAGTGGCTTATTTTAGTGCCAGAATATATTATGGGAAGAAACACAGCAAATGGGGCCTGAGTTTAAAGTATACTGTAATAGCTTATTAATTTTTAATTAATAATAACTTCTAGTTTCAGCAAGTTGAGTGTAGATGTTGGTATAATCTTGGTAATTAACAGCAAGAGATGCTAACCTGTGGTATAAGTACTCTGTTTTAGACTGTAATGTAAGGATCCAGTATTCCCTCTGTGCATTAGTGTTCAAAGATAATTAAGAGATTTCCCATTTACTGTCTTTTATCTAAGACACACGTATTAAATTGCATTAATCTTTCTTCAGAGATCATATGAGCCCTTGTTTTTGTCATTTATACATTCTTTGTAATTTGTCAATGTTGCTGTTTCTTTTATAGTCAAATGAAGAAGAACTGCTCACTGCTCCCAAATGTGAGATTAGCAAAGCTGGTGTAAACAGGAATTATTACTTCACTGGCTTTAAAAATCAAACCTGGTGTATGCATGACTAGCATCTACAACATTTGCTTCTCTTGAAATAGTACAAACTCTTTCCTATCATGTGCTTTTCCAGGGATGGCTCAGGGATAAAATGTGCCATATTTTTTTTTTTTCCCTAAATCTAGTATCTGTTACTTGTTATGTTTTCACAGACATCCTTCATTTCACAGCCCTTTGAAATCTCAAGTATTTTTCTGTGTACTTCCCACCTTTTCTCAGCAGTCTGGTTGGTGAATAGCTCTACTTTCTGCTTGTATGGGGTAAAATTGTGGCTGTTGAGGAGTTGTGTTTGCCAAACTAACCAAAATGAACAGGTAGAATCATAGAATATCCTGAGTTGGAAGGGACCCCTCAGGATCATTGAATGCACCTCCTGACCCTGCACAGGACACTCCAGCAGTCACACCGTGTGCCTGAGAGCATTGTCCAAATCCTTCTTGAACTCACACAGGACTGGTGCTGTTACCACTTCTCTGGAGAGCCTGCTCCAGTGCCCAGGAGTGAAAAACATCTCTGAGTGAAAAACATTCTCCTCATACCCACCTAAACCTGCCCTGACTCAGCTTCATGCTGTGTTTTCAAGTACAGGAGTCATTAATTGGATGGGTTGCTTCAAAGCTTGAAAATAGATTTGTATACAAAAACTGCCTGTAAAAAGGCAAAATAGAGTGAAGAGATCTAGTGCTTTTGAATGCTTTAGCTTAATTAGTGCCTTTTCCCATGAGATCTGTACAGAAGCTGTAAGATGTTTTACTTTGCCAAGGTTTTCTGTGCTTGGAAGAAGGAAATAGTGACTTACAGTCTTAGAAGCCTTTCTGTATGTATAGCAGGAAGAAAAGAAGAGTTAGAAAAAGGTAGCTTGCCCATATAATTGAAATAGTTATAAATTAAATAATAGTCTGGGTAGGAGAAATTGTAAATAATGTGATGGACTTGAATGTATTTTGAAAGAAAATATCTCTTAAAAAAGTTTTATTCCAAGTCTAGTCCAAAGTGGTTTTCTGGAGTCCTGTCTGTAAAAGCAGAGATTACATTTTGGTAGTCTTTTGAGCTCGTCTGACTTGTGGCCTGTGCAGTCTTGCTCCCCCTTCAAGCCAGCACTCACCAAGATGGTTTGGGGAGATCAGGCTGGAAACTGGTTCTGGTGTTCCATAGCACTATTTCAGTCTATTTAATGGTATTGCCAGGAAAAAAAAATACATATAAAAGAAACAAAAGATGTAGAAGGCTGCTGCTTGGGGGGAGAATAAAAAGACACACAAGAAACCTTTATTAGACTTTAGTTTAGCATAATTATGCCTGTACAAAAAAAAAAAAATAATATACAACAGGCCAAAGACCCAGCCAGAGATCAAAAGGCATAGTTACAGGGGCCTAAGTGGATCTCTTTAAAATAATCAAGCAATTTGAGGGAAGGGGGAGCTTTTGACATAAACTTTGCATGTACATGAGCTCCAGAGCTGTTTATCTTGATGCTTTGCATAGACCTGAGTCTGCATTTTTATATTTTTTTGCAAAGTTAAATCCTGTTAATTAGAAATCAGCTTGACTTCTAGTTGTTCCTGAAAAAATCTCTTTGTATCATCTGGCCCTACTGATCTGTATTTAATGTAATTCTTTCACTAGCTTATTATCCTTTAACCTCTGAAGCAATTTTTCATTTGTCTTTTTAAGGCTGCACAATTCCTAATGCTTCTTTTAAAGTGCCAGAAGAAGAATTCCTATTTGTATTGTAGTCCTAATGGTTATTTAATCCTTCTTTTACAGTAGTTTTTTCTTTCTTGTTATAAGCTACTATATCTTATATTGTTTTTAACTCTTTCATTTGCCTCCACTTCTGTTGTTTAGACTAGTAAGTTTATATGAAAGCTTTCTCTTCCTACTTATATACTTTTGACCTGTTGACCAATGCCAGCCAAAATTGATGAAGTTGTGTCAGTGTCAAGGATTTCAAATTTTTACAGGTTTTATGAAATTATTAAGTTGCTAGAGGGAGAATGACCCAAATGAACATTACTGCTAATGGAAAATCTGCAGCATGATTTCAGGTTATTTCCTCTCTTAGACCTGGCTTAAACTGGCCAGCTAGCTGACGTACAGCCCTGAACTGTTGGATGGTTTTGCTGCTCTTGGACAAGCTTAGATAAGGAGCACAGCTGGGTTTTACAGTGCCACAAGAACTGCAGGCTGTGGCCAGAGGAAGCCTGGAGTTTGCAGTGCAGATATCAGGTTGTGTAGGTTGCATATGTGGGATAAGTGATTCTCACTGATCTTCAAGTACCACAACTGAATGATTCTTAAAATTGAGATCTGTAATGCCGTATTTTTCTTAATCATGAAAATTTTGAGTTTGAAGGTGGTGTATATGCTGATCTAGCCATGATTTCAGGGCTTGATAGCAGAACATCTGTTGAAGTTTAATGTCTGTTGGCATATTCTTTAAATAGATCTTTCTTTTTAAGAGGGGGAAAATCCAGGAGGAGAATGTATTTGTAATCTTTACTTACATCTTACATCAAAGCATCTCTGCTTTGAAAAAATAAAATAATAACTATTTTTGGTTTGGAGTTGTTTCTTTTTTTTTTTTTTCTTTTAAGGAGGAAAGATTCAGGGTTGTGCTAATTTTTTTTCCCAGTGTCTTTTCTGAAAGGTGGCTTAGGTTGTTTGTGGGAAATGTGACATTCGTGTTTCAGGGGAGCCTGAAGTAAATCTGGCATATTGTTTTATGCATTCCCTTCTGCACTGAGTATCAGGAGTCATTTATGTCCTGGACAGCTACATCAACATGTGAAACTAAACAAAAGGCCAATAATAGTAGAAAGCAAGAAAGTGAGAATTGAGCACTTCTTTAGTAAACTTTCTGTACGGAGTAAAATGGGCAAATAGTGCAGCCTCTCCTTATCTGTTATCACAAGTGCCTTCTTGCTGGAAACAGTTATGCTAAAACGAGCTGTTTGTACATTTCTGTGTGTTTTTGAGTATGGGAGCAAGCAACTGACCTAAAAAACATACTGTAGGTCTGTGTAGAGACTTTAAAAAGTTTCCATTTGTTTAGTAATTTACCCTACTTTAAAACTTATGCTCCCAGTAACTCTGTAGTAGGGTCTCACTTGTACCCACTGCAAACATTAAATACGTGGTTTGTCTGCCTGGCAGTGTGAAGCATTGTGTTTGTTGTTACTTAAGGTGTCTTCTGCAATAGAAGGGTCACATCTGTTGGTTCAGAGATTACCACAGTGTGTATCCTGAGGTAAACTAAGCGGCAATTCCCGCAGGGGCAGTTGAAGAAACATTTATTCTATTTGGAGTCATGCTTAGTCATCCCTGTTTGGCCTCTAATGGGTTACAGGCAATACTCCCTATTCTCTCTTGGTAAAGCTGGTGGACAAGTTAATGAGAAGGCCAGTTTGTGAGAAACAGTTTGTGAATTCATAACCCTAGTGTGTCGTGTAGTGCCAGCAGAAATCAGAGAATACACTGCACATTTCATTGTGTGTTGGTAAAACTCACAGTTTACATCACGCAGGTATGGAGCAGCTGCTCAATATGGGACAGGCATATGTAAGAGGATCTTTATTAGTAGGGAATATGATACAGCCCTCCTGTGTCCTGTAGAGAACGGTCAGCTATAAATGCTTCTTCACTGCTGTAAACAGAAAACTTTAGTAAAGTAGTTAAAGTAGCTTACCTTTAATTTAGCTTTTTCTAATTGCTAAACCTGCTTATTTGATTGTTTTACTTGTGTTGGTGTCGTCTGTGTAAAAGACATTGATATTCTTAATTAATTGTATATTTTGTGTTGGGTTTTGAAAGTATGCAGATCTAGTACATTTTGTGCTTAACTGAATTGCTACCTTAATTAAAATATTTTCTCTTGTCAGAATTAAAATGCTTTCTATGGGGACTTCTGCTTCTGATGCCAGGACTCTTTTGAAGACCTCATTTGTTGCATGGTTTAAAGGAAGATGATGTTGTTAGTGAATTCTGAGCATCCTTCAGGAGGCTGATGACCCTTCTGTTGTTGGTGTGTGCTGTCATGGACAGATTCAAACGGTAAAGGCAGTATTTTTGTGGCTCTGTTTCAGATTAGTGCTCTGATAGAGGAAGCAGTGGGTTAAGTTTAGATTACCAGCCCAAAAGCTCCTTCTTTTCACTCTTAAGACCATTTACTCTTTTTTTAAGAAAGTAAAACCATTCACAATGGTTTTAAGAATGGTGTCTTCACAATGGGAAGGTGTATCTTCAGATATGCTTTCACAGTTGTTTACAGCATGGGCCAAATTTAATTTCATACTTGAATTAATTTCCCTGAGTCACTGCAATTTTCTTTTCTTGTAATAAATCCCTAAAGATAATGCTTATTTTGACCATTAGTTCTTTTGTTGCTTGAGGGCTGGTTTTGGCTGATGTTTGTTCATAGTCTTCTCTTTTTTTTAAACAAAAAATAAATGTCAAGTAAGGTAAAACGTAAATGGGAAACAACGCTTAGTAGCTTCCAACTAAACAATTGTCTTACAATGGAATACAATAATTTATTAATATTTTAGTAGCAGTACTTTGTTTAAGACACTATTCAAAACAGCACAATTTGCTTTCTAAGAATCCTGTATCTGCTCACTGTGTTTATTCATTCTGTTTTATCAGCTCAGCTCTTTTCCAAAACACCACAGGCAGTTAATGCAACTTACAAAGGACTCCTGACTTTTTGCACCTTCCTAAGACCTATCTAGATGCCACCAGTGTTTCCCATGTTAACAGTTCTGAGCATGTTTTACTACATGTGCCTTCGGCGCCGGGCTAGGACAGCGACGAGAGGAGAGATGAACAGTCGGAGGGCTATTGAATCGAACACCCGCGCCTTACCTATCAACGTTGAGATAGTTCAGTATGCCAAAGAAGTGTTGGATTTCAGCTCTCACTATGGCAGTGAGAACAGCATGTCCTATACCATGTGGAATTTAGCAGGGATTCCCAACGTGTACCCTAGTTCTGGTGACTTCACCCAGACCGCTGTCTTTCGAACTTACGGGACCTGGTGGGATCGCTGCCCGAGCGCTCGGCTGCCTTTCAAGAGGACCCCATCCACCTTCTGTAGCCAGGACTATGTGGAACTTGCTTTTGAAGAACCAGTTTATCCCACTGCAGTGCACATTCTGGAAACCTATCATCCTGGAGCTGTAGTCAGGATTTTGGCATGCTCTGCAAATCCTTACTCACAAAATCCACCAGCTGAAGTAAGGTAATTTTTTTCTTCTTTATGCTTTCCTGTGAGATGTTAAATGCTACAAATAGGGCTGTTTAGTGAACTTTGCTTCCTAATATTTATCAGTTTTGATTCTGACTGACTAAAATTTTCTTTATTTCTTCATGTTTTTAAAACTGTGGTGTCTCATTTTGATAGCAGCTTCAGAGATGTATACATTTTTTAGGAATTAATGCAACTCCTAATATCAACTTTAATTTGTGTAATGATAGTTTTGATGTTGGAATTTTTATGGGCAATGATTACTATATCTGTATAAAACCCTACTTCTGAAGTGGTAGGTCTGAGCTCTTCAGTAGGAAGAGAAAATTGTGTAAAAGAGGTTGAGGATTCATGGCTGCTGTATCATCCTGCTTCAAGTAGCTGTGGGCTCTTTCTTCTCTGCATGCTTTAGGTTGAATGTATAGTACAATTAGGCACTGTAACTATTCATATGGAAATGAAGCTGAAACCAGAAGCACAGAATAGTCAGACAAAAGGTGATACCATTTGTCTGATCTTTATTTTTGGTATGGTCAAAGGGTGGTGAGCTGAACTTGTTTTTACACTCACTTCATCTAAAAGAAGCAGATATGATCCTGTTGGTTTTCCTTACGTTAGGAAGTCTTGATGAAATTCCAGTTGCAGGATCAGGAGTGTGGTAATCTGGGTAAGATAGTAAAGAAAAACACTGTGTGTGAGGTGAGAAGCTCTTAGTGAGGAGGTGAGGAAATAGGAATGGAAGGAGAAAGTGAACAGGTCAAACCATCTAGTGGGCAAAAGCATTGGGAAAAGCTGTCAGTATATGCAATTGAAGTATTCCATATCAAAAAGAGATTAAATCATACCAAAGATAGAAAGGAAGGGAGAGCTGATAGAAGAAATACTAAACAAAATGTGTCCTGTAAAGATTAGTATGCCAGCAAATACTATATTGCTATGAAATACACACTTTGGTGGTATAAGCAGTGCTAGTGTGGATGCTGGGTGATTTTTTACTGACTTACCTTTTACAGATGCCACTAAAAAGTATGTTTTTAGGTCTAACTTATTATCCCTTGCTTTCTAATACTGGGCCATTGATGTTCATTCAAAAACCTTGGAAAATCAGGTGTCATGGTTTATATTCAAAATTCCCAGTTAATATATTTTGTATGCTTCTGTCATCTGCTCTGGTTAAGTGCAGTTGCTTGTTTTACAGTCTAATGAGAATATGATATGTTGTATAGCTCTAAAGTAAACATCTGAATTCAAAGAACAGTGATAGGTCAAAGTAATAATAACAGGCCACCTAACTTTAGAAGTATGAGTGCTTTTGGCACTGTAATACAGAACTTATTTCCAGACTGGTATGTGGTGAAGGCAGCTTTAGACTTTCAAATTCAGAACCTAATGTGAAATGACTTCTGGGCAATTACTCTGTGAACTTCCATTTTACCATTTTACTTTTTTATTTTGTGATGTAGATCTTATTTCTTTATGGTGAAACACAGATGGGAGGAAAGCTCAAAAATAGTTAACTGAAGGACCTGTTTAATTAGGTACACAAAAAAAAGAGAAAATTGTACAGAGAGCTAAAGGGAGATGAAAGTGAAAATACTAATATAAAACTTTGGGGTATGTGCTTTATGACTTCTCTTGAGGTGTGGTCAGAGTGAGAGCTCAGATGTCCTTCGTAACAAAAGATGAAGTTTCTGTACAATCTTGCTTTTTAATTTGTAGGCAAGAATGCCCCCTGTCCTGCCTGCATAGGTTAACATTTCTGCTTGGAAAAAGGTTGTCTCAGGCATCCTTGGAAGGAGTAGTCTGTGCTGCCTCTTCAATAATTGTTAGTCTTGATGCTAGAGAAGTGTTAGAGGGATGCTTTTTTTCTGTTTGCTTACCTTTGCTCTGCAGGACTTGTGTGTTTGGAGCTGAACATTTGGTTTGTCTCTTTTTTTCTTAAGAAGGCCATGTCTTATGTATGGTGTCATGAAGGGAAGATGAAGGAACCCTTTCTCCACATGAGGGACACAATATTTTTTCTCTGTTCATTTGCTCACCTTTGTGAGAGGAATCTGAAGAGTTGCAAGAGTGCAGTCTCTTTTCTGCTTCTGTTCTTGATCTCTTGTTTTTACTTCCAAAAATTCTCTGAGATATCAACTAAGAATTCTTGTTTTTGAAGATGGAATGCTGCTGTAATCTCAGGTGATTCCTTGTTTAACTGATGTTTTAGTCTTGAAGCACTGCCATACTATTTTCTTCTGTTAAAAAAGGCCATGACCTACTTACTCAAAAGGCACTTAGAACTTTGTTTTCCTCTTCTGACTATTTTGATACTTTGTTTTTTGATACTTGAGTTATTACCAATGAAACTTTTCAGTGCTGCTTGGTTTTATCAGCTGACACTGTGCATGTTTCTGAACACCAGTGTAGAAAGGGCAGGTCATTAGGAAAGTTCTCTTTCACCAGCTCCTACTTGATGTACAAAGAAGGCCAAACTGTCAGTGAAGTCGAAACTTTGTTGAGTACAAAAGCTTCTAGGCTACAAGTCTCTTTATGAGGACCTAGTGTATCACAGTTCTTGCTCAAGAGAATTTTACATATTTTTATTAAAAAATTGCTAGCACCCACATACTTGGTCAATGTATTACTCACTTTTTGCTTCAGTTGCATGAAAGAACAGCTCATGCAGGTGTTCAGAAGATGCTCTTTGGTCGTGTTCCTTTGGTGCTGGTGCACTGAGCACTGCTATTGCAGCTTTATATGATGCTGTCTCAGGTGAGCTTTTTCGGTGTCTTTAGAGGTGGGGGTCAGATCTTCATGGAATGGGAATAAGCATTTACTTCTCAGAGGGTTTGCAATTGTTTCTAAGTAATCCTCATGCTTAGAACATGACAGTTTGACGTTTTTTTCATTATGGTTTAACTGGCATCCAGCAACTGGAGGATTCTCTGTCCTCTCATATCTTTCACTGCTTCAAACACAAAAGGCATTACATCACTTTTCTCTACATAAAACAATTTTTAAAAATCATCAGTGTCAGAGGAACTGCTGTTCTTACACATGGAAACCTTTTGTGCTTTTCATTTGTGCCTCTCATATCTTGACTAGTGAGAAGTGTGGGTAATTCCTTAAGCTATACTAACATTCCATGTATAGATTTGTTATGTGAATTAACCAAGTGCAGAAAACCCAAGAAAAAAATATTAGTCTGAGATTAGGGACATGTTGTAACATAAAGTCTCAGTTTTTATGTGGTGAAGAAACCAATCTCTATTTTTGATTGTGTTGTGTTATGATTATTTTACTAGTGTGGCCCTGGGACTTTGTACAGTAGTGCGCATTCTGTGTTTGTAGGGTTTGGTGACAATGCTGAATTGTCACCAAGCTTCAACCAGTGGAAGAAACAGAGCTCTGCACACATGTGATGGGGAAAATGCAGCATAAGCTGAACCCAACCAAGAGTGTTTTCTTTGTTTTTCATAGTGTATTAGATTGATGGGTAAATTTTAGCTAGCCTCTGTGATGAGAAAAATTTTTTTTTTCCTGTTTATTTTCCTCCTTTTTTACCCAGAAGGCTTACTGTTGATGATTCCCTTGTGGCTTCTTCAGTGTTAGCCCTTTTGATACATTTTTAATAGTTAGTTGTTGTTAGTCTTTGTTTAAATGGGAAAGTCAAAAATAATTGTTTCAGAACTTCTCCAACTTTTTCCTGTTATAAAAATAACTTAGGTTTTTAAGCTTGTAATATGAAACAAAAAAGTGGTCCCTATTCTCCTGTTGTGGTCTTCTAAAATTTTATTTGACTGTTGCTTTTATGTCATATATGGTTTATACTGATACTGTACATTCATGTGCTTTTCTGAAGGCTCAAAATCAGAGATTCCTAACAAGTCTGGAATCTGTGGCTGTACTTGGGGTAAAATTTCATAGCATACGTCCTTCCTGCAATGCAATGATTGCTTCTTCAATAATTAGAGATTATCTTGTGATTATTTTTTTCTTGTTTGCTACAGATAAAGTGTGACACTTATTAGTTTTTTTCTCATGGGTGAGATACCATGATCATTTGTCTGGGACCACTTCCATTCTGCCTTGTGTATTCCTGTTTTTTATTTCTATTTAATTTGCTTAATTTCATGTTGTTTAGGATTTTACTAGAAAATTGAGCATGGCTCAGTATTTCCAAGCTTAACTGAATTTGCTGTATGCAAAGTTTCTTTCTGTTTCTGAAAGTCTTAAAGCCTGTAGAGACAGAAGCTGCTACAAACCAGAGCAGCAAGCTAATGAAGATGGACAAAATAAAAGGCTCCCTCTCCTTCCAATGGGAAATTTATTATATTTAAGCAGCCTGGACAGGGATCAAAATGTTTTATGGAACCTCTCTCTCTGCCCCCCCTACCTCCTTTAAAAAAGGGAGTGAAACCAGAAAGGCAGTGCACTGAATGTAAAACATCATGAGTTCTTACTTGTAGAGAGTGGCATTCAGATGGTTCTTTCACTCTACCTTTTATTCCCTGAGAATCTCAGATGAGAACACCCAAAACACTGCTGATACCATCAACACATTCGAGTGTGAGAAGGAACCTTCAGGCCTGTATCTCACCTATGTGTAACACACAAGTTCTAGACATTTGCATCCTTACTTAAAACTTGTTTTGACATCTTCAGGCAAACAGCTTTTTCTTGTTTCAATGCCTGTCATAGAAAAATGAATTCTGAGTTTATGGAGTACAGTCATTTTTGAGAAGCTCCTAAAAAGCTCATGTAAACAGCACAGTTACTTGAAGTATCTTTTGCTGTTTTAAATGTCCTGACCATTCTTGGAGTCCTGTCTGCTGTCTCTGGTATTTCAGAATTGAACTCTTGGTAGAAATGAAAATTTTCTTCATATTTTCTTGTGATAATTAGACTGCTTTGAACTCTGCTTATCAGCTTAATCTGAATGATTCTTAAATTGTGCTCATGATCTTGCCAGTCTCCCCTGCCTTTTGTGTTTATGAGCTCACAGCTGAGGTCAGGGGTACACTTTCCAGGTTGGTTTGAACTAGTGTGCTGAAGCATCCCTGGCATGTTTGCAGGCAGGAGATGTTTTTTCCTAGGTAATCTACAGATTTCTGCTGTGCAGTTGCTTGGCTAAGATCAGCATGGGATTATAATTGTTGCACAAGTTGCATTTTCATCAAAGGTGTGGTTATATTCTCTGAGATTCCTTGTGTTCTCCCTGTTGGTCTATCTGGAACTCTCCCTTCTATTGGCTTTTAACTCAGATATTAGTTTCTTGAGGCAAGGCATTTATTGGATTGCTTGTAGTGCTTTTTTTACTTTCTACACCTATCTTGATTTGACAATACAAGAAACCTCAGCAATTGCAAGCAAAGTTTAATCTTGTACTGCTGGGGAGAAATCTGATTACTTTTCCTAGAAGCCCCCTTTTCAAAGACTCTCTTATTACATATATTTCTTCAGAAGTAACCAGGTCTACTCAGGCATCATCTTAACCATTAAAAACCTTTCCAACAACATTAGGTCAACAAAAAATTAGGCAAGCTTTAAATATCATTTAACATTTGCTGTCATTTGACACAGACCTTCCAAGTATGATTCTCAGTCTAGAAATCACTAGACTGTATTTTTCTTCATGGTAAAGGAAGAAGGATGGATTTATTTTTTTCCTTTACCACATAGGTGTATGGAGTCTTTAGTATCAGAGAAAATTGAGTTCCTGTCTGTCTTCATGGGACAGAGAGAAATTTAATGGGAAAACTGAGTCCATGGCTGAATGGAGAAACTCACTTAATGTCATCCTTTTCTTCAATTACTAGAGAAAATACAGATGTTGCTGACTCTTATTCAGGCTTTGCCTGGCACACCTTGCTGGGAACACTGAGGCTTTCTAGCACATTGCTGATGAGACCTTCTAATCAAAGCATTCTCAGTGTGACATCTTTGATCAGCTGTTACTGTATATCTGCAAGACTGGAGGACAATGTACTACCTGAATTCATTTGATTCTACTTGATTTTTTGAGAGCTACTTAATTAACTCAGGGTGTGGGGCAGGCAGAAATCCTTTGACTCTTTAAAGGTATTTATTGGGATTCTGTTTCTCTTTGTTTTGGGTTAAATAGCTTATTGAACATTGTAAGCTTGAAACAGATGCAGGTGACCTTCCTAGGGAAACTGATTTTGATCCTCAGACCAGGACTGACTGTCAAAATGCCTTTCTTATGAAAGATTTTTAGGTGGATTATCATAAGAAAAGAATATTCCAGAACAGAAAAATGAAATTCTTCCTGAAGCCTCTTGGAAATTTAGACTTTTTTATCCCGATGTGAATTCTTCACTCCCATTCTGATTACCTGCAGCCTCTTTAAGTGTCACAGTGGTGATCCCAGAGGAAGAGATCACTTCCACTTGTAGTAATGGGGTAAGAGCATGGGAAGGGTTTACCATGCCTACACATGGGAAAGATTTGCCAGCCCTGACTCAGAGCAGCTGCTATTGCCTGCTCCTGTTTGTGGTGCCACCAAGGCAGAGAACATCATCAAATCAACCTGATAAACTTGAGGTTTTTCCAGACAAACCAAAAGCTAACTTCTTTGAAGTTAGATTGGTGGGCTGTTGATGAGAAGTAAACAGGATGACAAGGACAGTGGAAAATTGTCACTGGTTTTGTTGTTCATCAGCATTTGGTATGCAATGTGAGCTTCACAAGATTGTGAAATCATGCTAAGTGTCTTCCATTTTCTCTAGTTTACTACAAAGACTGAGAACTAGCTACTGCCTGCTGGAGCTGGTTATTGCACTGCAATTTGATGAGCCCAGATCTCCAGATACATTATTTTTTTCAAGAGCTCTGCTGCTGCTAGATAATCCTCTCTCCAGGGTCCAAAAGGAGAAGTCAATAACAGACCCATTCTGCTAGAAGTTGATGGTCCAATATGTGTTAGGTTAGTGAAAAAATAGCCTTTGAGTTTCCCTAAGGATACTTTGAGTGGGTGGATGGAAGTGTCTAAGCAAAATGTCAGATGGTGATCTGGGTGTGCTCAAGGAAGGTCATGTGCCTTGCCAGCACTGAGTATTTGCTTAGACAATCGACCTATATGAGAGGATGTGACAGTGGGACTACAGCTGTTACTTTGCCATGAGTAGACATTCATTCTGTAAATTCATGACATCTTTTCTTAATACTATGTCTGTCTTATGAAAACTGTTAATTTTAGGGTAGAGCTGTCCACTCTCCTGTGTTAGTACTTTGATGTGCCATGTGCTCACTGCTCTTGTATGTTTGGTTTTAGTTCATTTCGGTTTTGGTTTTTTTTTTCCTTTGGGCGTAAGAGTTCTGCAAGTCTCCCATTCTATTATAAGGTACTTGGAGAGCAGCATGATGTAGGATAGGAAAATTTATCTGTGCATACCTGAAAATGTTCATTGTGAAATGGAAGCTATGGCCAATGTGGATTTCTCTTTTTTCCTTTTTTTTCCCAAATATCAAACTTCTTAACCTTACTTATGCTGTGTGCAGTGTTTTAATGAAAATCCCTGCATTTTTTTCACTTTCTGTTACGATGGAAAAAGTTAAAGCATTTGTTTCTGTTGTAAGTTCAAAGTAGTGGTGTCTGGTAGGGGAAGCCAAGATGCTGGGGTACTGGGGAGCCAGTACTGAAGTAAGAACTCTATCTAGAATGCTTCTGAGATTCATGTAATAGGACAAGAAGTCTGAGAGAAATCCTTGAAGTTGGGGTTTGGGAGTGCTGAAAATCCAAGGAATGTAAGACTTGGTTCCTCCAGGCTACTCAGTTGACAGCAGGTTTCCCTGTCACTTGGTGGAGGAGATAGGTGGTCTGTGTGTGAAAGTAAGGTATGTACCATACTATGTATGGTAGTTCTGTATATGCCTTGAACTTCTTTTGTCTGTCACTGGACCAAAGAGGAGAAAGGCTTTTCAGTTCACAGTTCAAAAATTCTGGCATCTTTTGCAAAGGACCCTTTCAAAAATGACTTGAAATTTCTACTTTCTTTGCTAATTTTTCAGTGAATTACTTCTAAAAGGAACATTTTGCTTGCCTAGGCAGATAAACACAGTAAAATTTATTTTTTTTTTAGTAATTTGTAATACTGTAGTTTGGACAGGCTTGATATTAAAGACTCTGAGTGGTGGGGCCTTTTTCTTTTATTTTGTAGGAAGTAAGAGGTCAGATGACTCTCTTTGGGTTACATGGCAAGAGTGTTCCTTGTGTACTTACATTAACATGCCATCATTGTGAAGACATCAGCAATCCATTTGTTTCATTACCTTACCTGTGAGTTGCTAGATAAACTTGGTCACAGATAGCACTAACACAAGTGACTGTGAGTCTACAGCTTGTTTTGTTATTCAGTGGAGAAAATATGCCAAGGTCATGAATTAGTGTGAGTTTAACAGGAATTAAATTTATCCATAGGATATTTATCAAATCTAGGGAAAATGTAAGTATCATAAATCATCTTTTCAGCCTTTTTCTTGCTTGTTAAATACTTCTGACAGATGATATTGCCCTCTTACTGTGCTCAGCAATTGCTTTAGGAACTTTGATTTTAATTCCTGTACTGTATGTGTGTCTTTTTTTTTTCCCAGATGGGAAGTACTTTGGTCTGAGGCACCTACAAAGGTGAATGGTCCTCAGGCTCGGCAGTTCACACCTTGCATCAAACAGATCAACTTTCCCACAAACTTGATCCGACTGGAAGTGAACAGCTCTCTTCTGGACTATTACACTGAGCTGGATGCAGTAGTACTACATGGTGTGAAAGAGAGGCCTGTGCTTTCACTTAAGACTTCAATGATTGATATGAATGATATAGATGAAGATGAGGATGAAGAAAAGTTTGCCTGTGGAATGGACGCCCTAAATAAACAGTTCAGCATTGTTACCCTCAGGGAATGGCCAACTAATGGATATTTTGATAAACTGCCTTATGAGGTAAGAAAAGCATGTTTACCCTCAATAAGTGTCTTGATGGTTAAGGGTGCAAAGGTGCTTTACAGAGTGTTGGTCAGGATTGTTGTTTTTTCTCAGTTCCTTGCATTCCTTGTGAATCTCCTGCATTTACTGTATAGGCATGCCTGAATTCTGTAAGTCTGTCTGCTTCCATGGGTGGATGTTAAGTATTTTCATAGTTATTGCACTCTTACTTCTCAAAGATCTTTGCACTCACACACAGTTTTTACACCAGATACTCTAGCCTTGAATTTCCAGCTCTTGAACTTAAAAGCTTTTAGCAGTTTTCCAGTAGGTTTTTAGTCCTCATACTTGACAAAGAAAATACACAGAAGAGATATGAAAAGATTCAGTCAACATCTGGAAGTGGGAAGAGTTTGCAATAGGCTAAAAGTTCTTTTTCCTGTTTTCTCTCTTACAAAACTTAGAGAGCTTTGTTCTTGAAAGTGCCATAATATTTTTATAATATTATTAAATGAGCTTTTTCCATCCAGCTAAGTTTTGAATTGTGGTGCAGGTAAAATATGTTATGGCTGGACTTCAGCACACTGTCTTCTTTTTATGCTTGCTACTTTTTATTCTGTCATTAGCACAGAAAACAGTTGTGAATTAGCTCCTTTCAGATCCCCTGATAGCATGATGGTTGCAAGTGTGCTCAGAGTCTGTAGATGAGTATTTTCTTTCCTCTAATTTCCAGTATAATGAAATTGTGGAGTATGATTGCTGAATACCATGTGCAGGCCAGGCAATTCTCAGGGGGGTACAGCTGTACCCTGATTGGAGTAAGAATTGAGAGATGAAACAATTATCTTCACCTCTCCTGAAATAAACTGTTGGCACATCGTGGAGAGGAGCCTTTACTTGCTGGTCAGACTTGGGCAGAGACAAGATTGCTCCTGCTGCAGCCTGGCAGAGGCACAAGTGTTCATTCAGTGGTAACTCAGCAAATGCTCAGAGTGCTTGTGGCTTGAACCAGACTCGCTTTTGAAAGGGAGGGTGAGGTGTGCTGCCATGGAGTGAAGGGTGCTTGCAGAAATGCCTGATCTAATCAAATAATATTTCAGTCTTACCATATCTTTTGACTCTAAGTACCCCAGTTTGACAAATGAAGGCTGTGCTTGGGTGACCATGTCCCCTGGTAGCCTGCAGAAGTTTGCTGTGCTTGTAAAGAGGGAAGAGAAAGGAAGAGAATGTAACAACTCTTACTGTCTTCTCTTGAAACTTCTCTTGAAACCAAACCTCTTGAGTTTGGTTTGAGGTTCTTTTTTTGTTGATGCAGTGGAATAATAAATAAGGAAACTATTTTTATCATGAGTTAGCTCTAGTGGTGTTTGGTTGTTTGTTTTTTTCCCCAGAGTACACATGGTGTTTAATATATTTTACTGTTGATGCTTGCATGGCAATACTGAAGTAAGGAAAGTACTTTGCATAATTGTTTGAAAGTTTGAAAACATGTTGGTTTTAGTAATTCAAGGAAATTAATTGTAGATAAAACTTCATTTAAATGTAGGAATTTTTCTTGTTGAAAAGGCTGGATAAATTGATTTGTAATATACTAAAATATCAGAGAGATTGATTCATCTCTTTTCTTTCCCACATGATCATAGAATCATGAAGGTTGCAAAAGACCTCCAAGATCATTGAATCAAACCATAAATGGTTGATTACACATATTAAAATTTTAACTTAGGAAGTATTTCTATAGTCTTGTTGCGCCTATGAACTTCTGTCTCCATGTACTTTATTTTGTTTTTCTGCTCTCCTTTTTGTCTACCAGATTTCTCTTTTATCCATTTTTTAACATGTTTGGTTTCATGAATAAATTTATATGGTCTGTCAATACCAAGAGCATCTTTTTTTCTTCTGTCTTGGTTTAAAGAAACTGAAAATATGGGTGGAATATTCATCAGGAAGCTATAAAAGACTATTTCTGTACTGGTTTTGTGACAGCAGAAATCCCAGTTTCCTACTTTCAAGTCCAGCTGTAAGGGTTGGGCATTGGAGCAACAAAAATGTTGTACTTGGTGGTCTGACCATTTTTATCACATTGGATATGGAAGCAGTACTCTGCATGCTCTATTTAAGACTGACAAATGTCAGCTTCTCAGGGGAAGTGTTCAAACTGTGGGAGAAGTAAGGCAATTGCTGACTCCTTCCAGTTTTGATTGATGCATTCCATGAAAAATTGTACCTTTTCTGTAGGTCTGTATTGATTGTCAATGTGTAACTGCCCTAAGTTTTCATAAACGTGCCTGTTCCTTATTTGAGTTGTTTGAAGCTTTTTCATACTATGCTCTGTAATTCACAAAATAATGCAAGCTGAGTGGGTTTTGCTAAGTAGGCAGCAGTTCCTCCAGCCTTTTATTTGTTTTTGCCTTTGTATTTCTGAAACTTCCATAGACTATCCTTTCATAGGATATGTTGTTCCTCAAAATGGCATTAGGAATGGTTTGCTGCAGTATAAACTCCAAAGGCGTTTTAGGATTGCTCCTGTCTAAAAAAACCCCAGAAAATGCTCAGCTTCCAGGGGCACAGACTTCTGTAGAAGAAACTGTAAATTTTTAGATGACCTAGTGAGAGAATTTTCCTTCCCTAACCTTGGATGGTGTTAACCAGCTGTTAATTAACTGTGAAGTACTTGTACTATCTGTGATCTCTTCTCCAGAACTACCCTAAAATTGAGGAAGGATTTTAGAGGAGAGACTTGTCTCACTTCCCAGACCATTGACCATCTTGTGCTGCTTGTAAAGTGGAAGGAGTAAGGCCTTAGTCTTAGTTGGCTTTGCAGGAATACTTGAAGTCTAAAGGCCTGACCAAATTCAAAGATTTTGGGAAAGCTGAGGAATACCTGCCACAGCATCCCTGTTGTGCAGTTTGAGACTCACCAAGATGTGCTGGCTACTAAAAACCCAGCTTATTTTTCTCCAGAGAGGAGAGTCAGAAGACTCTGCATGCTCCAGTCCAAAATATTTTTTTTTTTGGTAAAAATTTTTGTATAGAAGGATATAAATGACATCTTTGTCATTCCTTGAAGCTGATTTTTCCAAAAGCTGCCTACAAGCTTTATGAGCTGTTCATGTCTGCTGGTGTTCACATGCACTAATAAATGTGTGTGTGTTTGCTGGTGCAAGTTGTACTGTGTGGAACCAGGGTTGTGTGTTTTCTTAAACTATGCTGAGAAATGTCAAAGGCCCTGAAATACCATCTTCTTCATGTCTTCTCTCTTTGTATCTTTGTGCACATATCCTTTGTCCTTTACCTGAGCATGTTTTAATATCAGTTCTAATTAAATGGATTCTAAGCTGTAGCAGCTCTAGTTGCAAGAGTCAAAAAATTGCAGGTTGTTCATTTGTCTGTATCTGAATGAGTGGTTTGCATAGGCCAGTGTATTTTTTTATTGGAAAACCATTTCATCTTCATGTGGAAGAACTGAAAAATGAAATTCATAGAAAGTACAAGTATTGTAGGTTTGACCAGCATCCAGACATTCTTTTCTGACAAAACCAAGTTGGGCGTTATTGTGCTCTAGCAAGAGAAAGTATTTTATAAGTACAAATGGTTGGTTGTTGCTTGCTGTTTTTCAACAAAAAAGCTTAAAAAATCAGAGAAGCTTCTGGTTCAGTAAACTTTATTAGTATTATTAGAAACTACACCATTGGTAAAGTTTTGCCCCCTGTACTGAGGAGTGGAAATTCTGTGTGGGCTTACAGGCAGACCAGGCAGACTTTGTAGTTGGTGAGAAGCTCTTTTTTTTTTTTTTAAGATATTTTTTATTTGGTAGTTCAAAAAATACACCTGGTTTAAAGCTAACATGTGCCATATTTTCCCTGGAAATGGGAGAGGAAGTCCTCTTGTACTCTTAGTCCATCATAGCCTAAAAAGGCAATCAGTGTTGTATAAATTATATTTTGTTTTCTTTCTGTTTTTTTTCCGATAAACTTTGTTTTTATTGATTGATTTATAAGAAAGTGTGAAATAATAATGATTGTCATAAATTTTCACAGTAAAAACTGTAAAAAAAACCACAGTAAAAACTGTTGTTTGTGAGAAACTATATTATGAGATTAGCTTTCAAAGCAGGTACTCATTTCTGTAGCATTCTTGGAATCACCACGAACACAGCGTAGCACAGTACAGTACATCATGTCACATACTCATTATGATATCAAATTGTACTTTATGCTAGGGTACACAGACACAAAAAGACAGACACCAGACTCCAGGCTAATGGTGATTAATGGTTATTAGCCTGTACGTTTTGAACCTGTTCGTTTTGTTTAATCAAAAGCCAGGAAAAAGCACTTTATAACATAATATCATAGGAGTGACATTTCACTGTATATTTTCATTCCATATATTATGAAGTAGCACAATTTCAGTAAAAAATAAAGATAGATTTTTTTGATTGAGACATGGGCAATTTCATCTCAGGTGTGGAAAGACATCCTGTGTGTTACAAAATACTCATTGAAGTCATCAGTTAGTGTAAATGGACATTGTTCAGTCATTTATAGTTTCATTCACTACTCTCTGTATTGCTCAGAAGTTACAAAGCAGCTTTTTTCTCATTGAATGAGGTTTGTATTACTTTGCTTTTATCAGGAATTATGTCACATTAATTGTCTGCTAATTGTGCAGCCTCTGCTGACCTTTCAGATTTAGAAACCATGGAAGAAAAATTTGAGGGAAAAGGCATTAATAAAATAGATATTTAGCTGACTTACATAGTGTGGATTAGCTGAAATTTTGCAAAATTCAAGATATTAACTTGGGATTATGTCTTTAGCACCTAGTTATTTTGGATATTTTAGGTTTCAAAATGTTAACAGGTTCCTAAATGTCAGTTGGGTGCAAACTTAGCTGATTATAATGTAACTGCAGTTATTATATGTGCATATATATATTTTTATATATGCTGTTACATTGAAATGTCTGTGCTGGTCCTCTGCATCAATCTGAGTTCCAGAGACCTGCAGAGACAAAAGCCTGGGCTGTTTTTAGGGAAAAGGAGAAGCATGGAGAAGAGAAGATGAAAGGCTTGAAACCGAGTATGAAAGAAACTGGAGTATATCAAACACTGTATTTTTGCATTGGAGTTAAACTAAAATGTTTTAAGATACGTAGATCTTGTTGGAAATCTAAATACTAAATCTGGAGCTGAGTAGGAAGTAACATTTTCCATTTTGCAGGAAGTTGAATTGTTTTGTTGTTCCAAAAATGAAGGGGGGAGGAGGGGAGGTGGAAAGTAGCTGCATAATAAAGTGCTGCATTGGAAGTACAATCTGTTTGGATCTCACAAAAAGCTCCATTTTCATTTTACGTCACAGATTTTATTCTGATTTTTGGCGGATTTGTCTTATGAATCCTTCTAAGACATCAAAATGAAACATAGGTATTTTGAAAGGACAGGATTCTCTTCCTTTAGAGTTGATTTGTGAGTTGTAGTTTTTTTAATTTACACTGATTCATTTTGGTGAGTTACTGTTTCCCACTCTGCTTGATAACAGCCAATTTAAGTTATATAACTTGAGTGCAGGTACTTACATCTGCTAGAGACAGCTCTGGTAAAGTAAACATTAGTTTTTAGATTTCATTTCTCAAGTGCATTTTCTCTCAGTTCCTAAGCTAAAGGAGATTTCTTTATTTTGTCGGGTGTTTTTATTTCCTAAAGAGAGTATTTATGTCTGTGTTGATCATTCCTTGGAAAGGAAAACAGAGAGGAGGGATATTTCTTAGTTTCTGAGTGTGACATAAGTTATTACAAAAACTGTTACAGTGATGCTAGTCAGAAAGGCTGGTGATTATTCTGAAGCTGAGATGATTCAACTGATACAGTTAAAAAGGGGTTTTGCTGTTCAGAATTTACTCTGGTGTGGAACAAAAATGCTCTCAAAGTATTACAGCAAGGGGGAGATCGTAAAAGGAGATCCGATTATGCTGAATTTTTTATCCGGTTGCATAGTCCAGAGGAGAGGACCTAAGATAGAAGACAAAACACTGATTTTTAAAGCAGTGAGAAGAACAATAAATCTGAAATTGGTTTAGGGTGTGAGGAAACTGGGACATGGTATAGTTTTTCCATGTACTTTGCAAATATCTCCCGTCTTAAAAACCAAATACAGAGAAGAAGGAGGATGCCAGTTCTGTGTTCTGCTCAATGAAAGAGCAGACTTAGTGAAAGGAAATATATAAACATAGTGTTTACGTATATATCACTGTTTAAATTAGCATGGGTTTTGATTTGAAAGCTTCCTGTCGCTTTCATATGCTGATCTGCTTTTTCCTTTCTTGTTTAGCATGTTGTCAAATTGAGAAGGCAGTGCAGTTCCAGTTAATAGTTAATTGATTTATTTGAGAAGTTACTTTTGAGTAAAAGGCTTTACTTTCCTTGAAGTTAGAACACATTTTCTTATTCCTTTGCAGTTTTCCCTTAATGTTTTAAGTGCTATATGACCATCTGTGACTTTTTTTTCCCTGTTTTTAATATAGCTCATCCAGTTGATTTTGAGTCACCTTACAGTACCAGACCTGTGTAGACTAGCACAAACTTGTAAGCTACTGTATCAACATTGCTGTGACCCTCTACAGTACATTCATCTCAGTTTACAACCTTACTGGGCAAGGATTAATGACACATCCCTGGAGCACCTACAGTCTCGCTGCACACTCATCCAGTGGCTGAATTTATCTTGGACTGGAAACAGGGGAGCCATCTCTGTTTCTGGATTTAGCAGGTCAGTGTCAAATGTACAGAAATGTTTTGACAAGCTCTGTTTGCAGAGCTGCTGCACGGTAGCTTCACTAAGTATTTGAAACTTTATTAAAAGGCAAAAAATGTATTTGATTTACTGTAAAGGGTGTGGTTGTTATGATGTAGAAAAAAGGAACAGCTAAAACAGTAGGAGATACTAAATATAGCAGCAGAAGTCCATAGCAGTCTGAAGAGTCTGCATGTTCCAAGCTGCTTGTGATGGAAAGGCTTCTTCCAGGGGGAGCAGTGTTTTGCTTTCTTCTGGGCTTCTGAACCACTCTGCTAGAACTGAGCTATCAAAAATCCATCTTGCAAGGAAAATGTTTGTGGTTGTTCTTTGTACAGATGAGTCATCAGTAGGACGGTATTAGAATGGCTGCAGTAATAAACTGATTGCATGCTCACATGGTATGAGCCAAGTAATCACTGGAGTCCAATGTAAATGCAAATATTTTCATAAAAGTGATTTAAAACATTAGCCCTGTTGGAAAACAGGGGGGTTGCATGTGCATATTCCAATGAGCTGAAAATATGACTGTGGTGTAGGTCATTAAAATAGCAAATTTGCAGGGATTCTTCTCTGTATAACAGCCATGTTCTCTGCTTTCTTAAGATATCATTTCTTGCTTCTTTGCTCATTTGCATTAGTTAAACAGCTTCTATCAATGCATTTCATTTAAGCAAAAGTTGTTGCTTCAACTAAGGGGTAATCAGCAATGGCAGGTGAAAGCAGAAATTGACTGATAAGAAACAGAAATGTTTAATATATCTGAAAAAGTTGTCTTAACTCTCATTTGTTTTCTGAATAAAAAGGTTAACTTAAGTATGCAGACATTTTCTTTCCTTTTGTGCCTAAGTTCCTTACCTGAGGAAGTAAAATATATTGAAGAAATATTTTGTCAAGATGACAAAATGGGAATGTCTCTTCTGTTTTTCCAGACCCTCCAGTATAATCCAAGAATCCTATGCCTCTTTTGTGCTTATTGGTAGGGAAAGAAAATATACATCGGCTAGTTGTTAAATTGGGTACAAAAATTTCTCTTAAATTTGGATTTTGTGTTAGATACTTTATGCAGAGGATAAATATGCAAGCTTTAATTGGGAATTCAGCTCTGAAATCATGAAGTGCCTGCTTTCTGATGCTTAGCTATTTAGTCTATCTTTTGAAAACTTAACATATGTGAATCTTTGTGGCAACTTTTTTCATTTCCACGATTTATTGTTTTTTTAGTATACAGTACTGCGAAAAGTCTTCGTAGTATTGTAAGAAATTATTGCTAGATTCAGAGACTTATAAACCTTACCAGTCAGAAACTGGCATTTCTGACTTCTACTTAGTTAAAAATTACTTTACTATTACTAATTTTTTTTTCTTCAGTGCTGAATTACTAGTAACATATATGTGTACACAGTGTTTTTAAATAATAAATATTCATTATCTGTCTATAAATAACCTGTGAGTAAATGTTTTCTGTTTCTTATAAGGAATTATATTTATTTATTACAAATGGGAATAAAAATTTGACATTGTTGCAATTCTGAAATTAGCTGTAGGAAATAGTGTTTCTTGGAAGAGATGGATGCAGTCCGGGAATGGGAGGTGCAGTTCAATCGTAAATTTTAGAAGTAAAGTTATAAGTTAAATAATTTGCATGTCTAAACTGTGCTTATCATTTTCCCTTGTGAAACAAAATTTCTGCACTGTAACTAGGTTTGGCTTTAAACTTTTTTCTGTTAAAGAAATGATTTTGCAACCCTTTCTTCTGTAAAAGCCTTTTCTAGTAAAATCCCCAACCTAAGTTTTTCTTTTGACGGTCTTCATCAGCACATTTGTCAAATTTGCTGGCCTCCAGGAGAGGGAAATTTGCTGCTCATTTGCTATGAAAGTATCTACTACTAATAGAGGAGATTCATTAGAACAAGACTTGCTTTTCACCATTTTTCCTTTTGTCCAAAACCAGGATACATATATTTTTGCATTTTTCTCAGCATTTGGAGTTACAGTTGTCAGTGTTGAATTCAAAACTGGTAGAATTGGTTTAATTCTTACAGTAGTACAGTTTAAGTTATGGTTTCTACAAGTCAGGGTATGTTTAAGTGCTATTCTGGCTTAAATCTTATTTTGGAAAATATCTTTCAAAAATGTTTTTATCTGTTGTTTCTTACAACAGTCTTATAAGTAGTAGCTTGTATAAATTTGTCATTTTAAAATGTTCATATATGCATGAAATGATTGAAAATACTAAGAAATACATATTTTCTTCAGAAATGTATTAGAGTGAAAAGAAGTTAAAAGCAATTTTAGGAAATGTGACTGGAGCAAATACTGTATTATCATGAGAAGACAGAATGCTTCAGGCATATGAACATCCTGAGGCAAAGCTGAAGGTATTTTAACTTATTGATAACACCTACTCCTTAGGGCTAAAAATTACTATCATAAATTTTTCATTTCAGCATATAATATAAATTAACTAAACTTTAAATTAGATTGAACTAAAAGTGTACAAAAAAGTGAAAAGAGTCTGTGAGCAGTCTCAGGAGCCTGAAATGTAAAATGACAGGGAATAAGCAAAGATTTCACAGCAAGCATTGCATAAGCAGCTCTGCATTTCTCTTAGCTTTAGAGTCTGGTGCATCTCTTCATGCCAGGGGGAAATATCAGTGAGGGAGGGTAGGACCTATATAGGAAGAGTGAGGGGAGTTGATTGGAGGAGTAGTAAATATTGAGATGCTGGATAAATGCTCTGAGGTTTAAACAGCTCAAGGACAATGACAGTTAAAAAACTGAGTTCTGCATGCAGATTTCCTTGGATCACTGATAATGTCATTAACTTGTTTAAACTCTTTTGCTTTAAATATCTGAGGAATTAGGATTTTTATTTACATCTGACATTTTACACTGTGAAAATGAATTAATAGTGTTTTATTTTCAGGTTAGTGATGCAGTATTTGCATGGAAAGCACATCCAGGAATATTTCTTTAACAGTTTTGTTGTTGTTGACAATTGAAGGCTTTCATTGCCTTTAGTAGAAGTGTGTTCTGACAATATTTAATTTGGTGAGGCTTTGCTAGAAGTCAAACTAGAAGGAGGGTCAGAGAAATTACTGAAATATGCACCAAACAGTCATAGAAAATGGGAGTAACATGTGACTTTACAGGGATTCTCTATTTAACAATCAGGTCTGTCTCTTGCTTTAATTTCCAGAAGCTTTTAGTAAAACTAGGGTTGGCTGAGAGAAAGTTACATTTTTTTTTGCATGTTTTTCTTGATATAGTTTATCTGTGTTGAGAAAAGCACAAGATCGGATACTCGATATTCCTACTTGATACTACTTACATGCCATGTTTTAGGATTTACTTACCAAAAAGAAATTGTAATACATGCTAGAATAGAAAATAACATTGTACCAATTAGAATAGCTAGAGGAAGGGAAAGTGACTTAATTTTAAAACCAAATTACCTTACAAAGTCTCACTCTTAAGCATGAATACTTGCATGTGCCAAGAGAAACCAAGATGTGTGTCCAAATCAATTTGTCTGGCATGTGGTTTCACCATCCTGTGCTGCTCCTATCCTTCATCTCCTAATCTGTGTGCCCTGAGAAACTGCCTGCACACGTGTTCAGGGGTGTCAGTGACCTGCTAATCTGACTTCCACCAAAACACAGCTCTGTTCCAGCCCTTGTGATGCCATTTGTTCTTTTTCCTTCTCCTACACCTCTGTGTACCCAGTTGTTCTGCACTCATAGCAACCTTAACACTTTAGTTACAATTACCTGTGCTAGATGCTGCTGCTGTCATGTAATGTGGCACTCTTGAAAGGAAATGCATCACTGTGAATTTAAAAATATATGAACAGGTCTTTAAGAAGGATATTAAAATTGAATTCTACAAACCATTTTATTAAATGCAAAACTGTAATTGTAAGGCAGAAAGTCCTCTGTGAGCTTGTGCAAGTAATCATATAGATAGAACTGAGTAAGAAAGAGGGGTTCTCAAGATCTTGGAAGTGAAATGAGGAAGAATAAAATCCAGGTGGGTTTTGACATTTTGCTTGTCTGCTGGCAGGCTCTGGAAACAGGAGACCTGAGTAGCTGGAGGGAGCATGTGGTTGGCTTGAAGCAGACATAAATGGCTATTTATTGAAATACTGATTCTAGGAGGCTTATACCAAGGAAGGCCTGGCAAATGGGGCAGTATTGTATCTGTCAAGTAACAGATGTAACATCCCTAACATGGATGCTAATGTAAGGTAACACTACAAGGGAAAGGGAAAAGGAAAAGGATTCTGTACAACGCTGTGTTGTTCACAAATGGAAGTTGCTTCCCTTTTCCACTCTCTCTCTTGGATACCAAATTCAAATATATGTCAATGAGTATAAAATCAGTAGTGAAGATTTTAACTGTAAAAAGATTTGGTAAAATCAGCATAATAGAAAACTGTTGTGCTAATTGCACTAAAGGAATGTAAAATATGTAGCTAACTGCATTTAGGGAGGATAAGTAGATGAAAGAGAGCAGGACTACTACTGATCCTACTTTTTGTGGAGTTTTCAGTAATTTTGTACTGGGACATATAGAGTAAGGGAGGATCATTAAGTCAAGAGTGAATTATAGGTTCTAGATCCACCAGAAAGCATTGGAGGAAATGTGATGTGTTCAGTACCTGCATAAGCACATGTCTAAAGGTATTTTGAGAATTTTGTTTGGGAGGTGTTACATTCTGACATTGAAGAATACTATCTCTTTTACCCTGGGTTTGAATTTTGGATCATGAGATATGTTTATGATGTACACATGAATTACAAGACTGGAAATTGTTAGTGGGCTAAGTAACCCTGTGATCATGATGGGTTTAACCATGAGCAAATATCATCCTGCCTGCTAATAGATATATCGATATTTCAGGAAAACTTGACTAAACTTACTTCCCAAAAGGAAGTAGGGGGGTTAAAAATAAGCAGTAGTTCTTGAGAATAGGCAGAAGGTGATGGAAAGTGGGATTCCTTTTTTTATGTCCAACAACAATCCCCTCCCCCCGGGAAAAAAACCCCAAACCCTTCAAAAACCCCACCCTCCAAAAACCAGAAAGAAACAAAACCGAACAACCAAAAGGCCTGAAATGCTGCTGTATAATGTTAGGATAAACTTCAAGGGAAAGGCCCAATGCACTGTCTAGCAAAAGAAATGTGCATGTTCACATTATCCTAGGTTGTTCAGTCATATTTTATAGCAAACATGAAGGGATGAAGAGAAATTGCTTCAGAAATGGTGTATATAAAATATTGATTATAAAAACAAAACTAAAGGGATGGATGACTGCAGAACAGAGGAGAGACTGAGAACAGGAACCAGTCAGTCCTCAGTGATTAAAGGAGGGGTATGTGAAAAAATGTGAAGAAATTTTGATTTGGGTAGAACGTGCTTTTTTGGGTGTTGTTTGTTTTCAGATTAGCTCAATGAAGCCAGTCACTTGGAGACTGTTAAGTCTCAGAAGTATGAAGACCATGCCACATTTGTTTTGAAAGTATGAGAACCTTGCCATAAGGCTCTGCCTGGAGATCCATGTGGAAAGACAGCCCAGAAACCTCTATCCTGAGCAGTCTGTTTAATTCAAACAAAGATCAGGTGTCCCCACAGAACTGTGCATTTCTGCCCAGTGTTCTCTGCCCTGTGCTGCTTGTTGACTTCCTCAGATTCCTCCTTCTGTTCCTGTTCCTCTCTTTCCTACATGCATGTCCACTCATTCTTGTACCCTGCTGCTGCATGTACCTTATCCCCCTTTTGTTTCTGTTTCATGTCTCCTAAATAACCTTTTCCAACAAGGCAGCAAAGCCATGAAGGGCAGTGCTTGTTGCTGTCACTGTGTTTGGTCTCTGTCTGAGTGTTTCAAGTGTAATGAGTTTAAATAAAATGTTATGAGGATAATAATTCCTCCAGCTGGTGAGCCTGGAGTTCTTCTCCTTGTCTAGGGGGTTAACTGAGTGTTTCCCTGACCTGGTAATGTTAACTTTTAATAGTCCTAGAAGGAGAAAAGCATTGATCTCTGCTAACATTTATAACAGCCAAGCCCTGTTAAATTATATGGCAGTTAAACTAACATCCATTATTGTAATGGAGTAATTCATAAAATATTTATTTGTTAACAAATTAAAAGCTAGAGGTATAATAAGTGGTGACTGACAAAGTTTTATGGAAAATACCATCATTCAAACAAACCTGATAATTTGTTGATGAAAGAAGCTGTGTGAATGTATTGTTAAAGCACTCATTAAATAGAGGAATTGGCTAATTGGTAATCAGCAATGTATCCATATATCTCTACTCTGATTTCCAGGGGATTTCCATCCTGCATTTCTCCATAATAGTGTTGAACTCTATTGCTAATCTAAAATAGCACTTAAATGTTTAAATACCTGATGTTAATTCTTGTGAATTGTCGTGTCATTTCAGCTCTGACATTGCCACAGGAAGGCTTACCAGTCTCTGTGCATTCACTGTATCCACTATGGAAACTGCTTGGTGTTTTATTAAAGTCTGACTTTAAAAGCTAAAATAGAGCCTAAATAGAGACTGCAGAGTTAGAAAAAACCAGTGGAGGAGTAGACTTGCAGACCATCCATGGCAGAACTCCTGTGGCTCTGAGGCTTATGTCTCCCCTTCCTGAGTGTCTCAGACCCTCTCTTTGTTTCTGTTTGCTTAGGCTCATAGAAATGTTGGATGTTAGGGACCTCTGAAGGTCGTCTACTCCAAGCTCCCACTTGAAGTGCCAGTGTCCCCAACGCTAGATCAGGTCAGTCAAGGTTTCAGGTGACTCTTTTCAGGTGACTCCATTCCAGGGATGGAGATGCCACCCTGGAATCTCCTTTTCCCTCTGTATTACATAGGATCTATGTAATCACACTAAGGTCATGTAATATGCAAGGTGAAAGGAATAAAGAAAGGTGATAATGAACAGCAAGTATGACTTGAGTGAGTAATGAAAAAATAAGGAAAGGAGGCAGCTTGAAAACTTGGATCTCGAAAGATGGATTTCAAGTCTTGGGCTTGGGGTGTCATTAAGGAATGCCTCCCTGAATGTGTCTTCTAAGACCAGCAGCAATTTCATACTAAGCTTCAGCATGAACAAATGCTTGGGAAGGATAATAACTCTTTCCTTGCAGCAATAGGAGTTTTTGTGCAAGCAGGAGCCTTGTGTTGGTCTGGCATTTTTATTCCATCAGTTAAACCCAAGAAGTAATATTGACTTCATGGTGGAAGTGTCAGAACCTGAAGCTGCTTTTGTCTGCCTGAATGTTTTTGTAGGATAGAACTGGTAAGAGAACAGATCAGAATATTTATTAAGAGAAACTAATTCATGCTCTTTCACATGTAGATCCATTATTCTAGGAAATAACATAGGAAACTCATTACAACCTGTAGTTTAAGACACTAGTTTTTCTACTGGAGGAACTATCAAAATATAAGCATGGCAATTGTGTGGGCTTTTTAATCTTATTAAATATCAAGCTTACAGGCCTAGTGGTTAAATTACAGTTTGAAGGTTATCTTTGAAATGAAAAGGGACTAAGTTTGTGTCATTTTGGTTAAAACTTGGATTAGAGATAAAAGAGCTTGAGATTCTGACACAAGATCTCTGACAGGAAAGCAAAATATAGAGACCATCAAAGTTTCTACATTTTGGGTCTTTTCTCATATGATATATTAATTTTTTATAATTCCAATGAAAGGAATATATTCCATATATTCCTTAGGAATTTGTATTCTAGAACAGCTAGCAGGTATTGATTCTGACTTGTTAATGAAAAGAATGAGATGTTTTTTTGCCTGGAAGTCTTAAAGCAGTTCTGAATAGATAATCCATTTAAAAGTATTTGTTTAACCTAATTTTTATATTTGCAGATCTTTCTGAGATAAATATGAAATTATTGGTGTAAACTTGCAGGCCATTGTCAAAATTGGCTTTCAGCTGTTTTAAAACATTTCAAATATGATCAGTGTTTTACTTTGCTCCATTATCTCAGAGTTAATAACAAAGCGTGTTCTAACCTCCTGAATCAAAACAGAATTATCAAGACTTTTGTCTTTTCTTTGTTGAAAGGAATTATTTCCTGGTTTGCATGGTTGAGGTTTTGACAGTATTCAGACTCTCACCTGAAAGTATGTTAATTTTTCACTTCAAACATGGGCTTCTTTTACAGGTTCCTGAAAGTCTGTGGCTCTGAACTAGTACGTCTTGAGTTGTCTTGTGGCCATTTCCTCAATGAAACGTGCTTGGAGGTCATCACTGAAATGTGTCCAAATCTTCAGGAGTTAAATCTCTCATCATGTGATAAAATCCCACCTCAGGCTTTCAACCACATAGCCAAAGTGGGCAGCCTAAAGCGTCTCATTCTCTACAGAACGAAAGTGGAGGTAGGAGCAGCTATTTTCAACCTTTGCAATAAGTATTTCCAATCCTGATAAAGCTGGTTTGGGGTCTGGTTTTTTCCCAATAATGAAGAAGTAAATTAGTATTTTGAGTGTCAATTCAGAGCTAAATTCAGAAAATCCAAAGGTAGTTTCAAAAACCTTAGGATGGTTTTTTATTTTCAGAATAGCTTTTGGCCTGCATGTTTTAACTTTCATGGTAGGTTGGTGACTTTTCACCACCTGTTTTAAGCAATGTGGTAAAATTACAAATTTTTAAAATTACAAATTTCTAGATTCCTACAGTCTTTGTATATTAGCAGTAATTGAGACACAGAACACAAGTTTTTCATAAAACTTCTCATTTACAGTCTAAAAATTACCTCTTTATACAGTTACTTGACCAAATCAGATTGTTACTGCTTGCTGCAACACATTTCCTCTCTAAGATGGAATGGGTTTGTGTGCTACAAGTAGCTGAGAAGTCTGTTGTAGTTTGCTACATTTTACAAATATTGTATCCTTATAAACTTAGCAGTTTGAATCAGAAAAATTACATTCTCTCTCAGTAGCTACATTGCTTAGGTGTTACAACCTTGCCAGCATGGTTTACCTGGGAGCTGTTCTACTTTTGTGTTGCAAAAGCTGTGCCAGAATGGGGGCAAACCCATGTCTCTGCAGGCTTTTTTCCTAGCTTCTAATTCTAGATTTAACATTTTAAGAAGGATTTGGTTGTGTGTGTTACTTGTGTTTGTGCTTTTGGTGCACAGAAGTCAGGCTGTGACTCTGGATTGTGTGGGGTGTTAATCTGTGGTGTGATGAAGGGAATGAAGTTGGAACAGTAGATTCTGTCAACCAGATGTGCAAGGGACATCTGGAGTTAAGATTACAATATTGCATTCATAAGCACCTGACACACATGTTAGAGTTAGTTGGGTCTTGTTGTCCTTTATTTGGTGAATCCTAAGTCTGTTTGTGCCCAAGTTCCAGCCAGGTGTCTGTAATGGAGTGGGTAACACAAGGCAGATTGAAGGGTGATCTGCCTGGTGTTGAGTGATGCTTACTGTGGGCTGTGCAGTCACCAGGACTTTGTGGTGGCTGCTCTCTGTATTGAACCAATATTATTTTCTTCAAACCACAAAGAAAATTGGTGAGCCCTGCATTTTTTGAATAGAGCTGTATTGGTGCCTTGGGTGTGTTTGTTCTGTTTCTACAATACTAGTCTTTTTGTTAATCTTGGATAAACCTTTTTATTTCATTTTGACTATTGGCTCTAATTCACAAAGCTTTTTCAGATCCAGGAAAGATCATTGTATCAGAAGTAGTGATTTTATAATTTTATTTTTTTTTACTGTTGATTGATCAGAATCTTCTTGATTCTACTCAGGTAACTTCTGAAGTTTGAGACTTCATGCTTGTAATAGTGCAGCAGATGAAATGTACTCTGAGGTGATTGGTAACTCATTTCTCTGCTATTGCTTTGCTGAGCAGAGCTTGAAATTAAGCTGAATGTGGGTAAATATTTCCTGACGTTGAAGCCCTTACATTGTGAAGATTCACTTCTCCCTTTCATGTGTATGGACATGCCTCTGCTTGTAGCTGACAAGAACATTCATTCATAATCAAGTTTATACAAGATTGTGCTTCCATTTTATATGTATGTTTGAACAAAAGGCAGTGTTCCTAATAAACAGTGGAAGAGAAATTTCTGGAAATTTAAATAGGTAAATTTGAGATGATGCTTGGGTGTTATTGTTAATATAAAGCCACTTAACAGTATACATTGTGCATCACAGGTCAAAAAATAGAAGGGAAAGAATGAAGATGTGGCCTGGGACTTGAATTAGAGCATTAGAACTACAAAAGTCACAGATTTTTAGAAATAACATTATCTTTCTCAATATGAGCTTCTCTTAGTGCAAACCTTTGGTTATCTGTACAAAATAGGCTGCCATTCCTTCTGTACTTTTCAGCTGGTACAGAAATCTTGTTAGTAAGTGATGGCTATATGCAAAAAAGGATAGATAGATCAAGCATGCTGTCAAGTGATTGAGACTTCTCTGAAACTTGTCAAAGAACTGTTAGGATTCTTGATTTTTGTGAAATTTCTGCTGCTGTCCTCATTGTTGGAGCTTCTGAGGAGCAAACAGAGGAACAATGCTAATGATTAACCAAGAACTTGGCATTGTATTGTTGCCAACTGGATCTGCTCAGTGAAAAGAATCTGAGGCTGTGAATCCACTAAGAAAAAAATGCAAACTGATAACAAGTATGTGTTTATTATGAGAAAATAAGAAGGTGATAAGAACAGAGCTGATACAGTGCTCTGTTAAAGTTCTGTTTCAAAATCCAAGAAGAAGAATCCAAAAGAAAAATCAGTTCATTTCATTTAGATAGTTTTCCTAAATAATTCAGGGGCTTGCTTTTTTTCCTAAACCAAGCAATGAGCAAAATAAACTACAAAATTTTCATGTGTTAGAGCACATCTGGGTAAATAGTACAATTTTTTCTCTTGGTTGTGGATTTGGACATGTGATTAAATAACACAGGAAGAGATGAAGATTTTCCATCCTATTGGTCAGCATATAATAATGCTGTTTCTGGTTTTGCATTATTACGCTTAATAAAAATACAGAATTAATATTTTAATAAAATAAATTGTATTTCTCCCATACACACTCCCAAGTACCTGCCCAGATCCAGGATTTTCTTGCAGTCTAAGTCCTACTGTAGCCTTTTCCTTTTCTGCATTTTAACACTAAAAAAGAGGAAAAAAGTTCTTTCAACATCTAAATTTAAAGTATTTGTTGTACTTTTCCCAGGTATATGATTACTGTGACACTAACAAATAAATTCTAAGGAAACACTCTGCTGAAACACTGACTACTATTAATGATTTTTTTGAAGTGCATAGATTTTGAGGGCAATGGAAACTCAATAAATTTAATAATGTTATGTTGTCTGAGCAATTGTAATTACAGTTTCTTCTCACTTTAGCTGTTTGCTTTGAATAGGTTTTGTATTTAAAAATGTTGCCATTGTTTCTGTAATCAAAAGCTGCAGTTTTTAAGTGTATGTTTTTAGTGAAATGGGCAAGGCTGGTGTTTTGCTACTTAGTGTACTGCTGCTTTGGAACATTCCTGTACCCTCTGGAGAATGTTGTAGTCTTTGGTCTTAACCCTGATGATTCTTAAGGCCACAAGTAATGTTATTTCCTTGACATATTGAGTGTGAAGTTCTGTGTATAAAATTGTTTTCTCACCTCTGAATTGAGGCTTCCAATACCTTTGAATGATTTCAACATTTCTGTTAGAAGAAAGAAAGTCCAGTGACTTTCAGTAACTTTTCAATTACTAAAAAATGTGTCCTGCATGGCTATCCTCCTCCCCACCAAATGTGGCTCATTTTTCCAGTGCTTTAAGTTCATTAGAGATTCTTAAAGGTTGTTTGATTATGTATATGCTTGAATAATTTGTGTCTTGCTTTAAGAAACTGATCTCAACTTTTTATAAATGTAATTTCTTTGTACTCAACACCACTGTTATACTTGTGGGATTTTTGTGCTGATGGAATTAGTATTTACTGATACATAACTCCTTAATGTTTATTTGTTGAGTGTATTCACAGCATAACTTAAGCACTTGTTGGCCTTGATACTTTTGAAGAATACACTGAACAATGTATTATTGTATACAGTAATTGGCAATGCACATCTTTATCCTTGAGCATGAATATTATCTTAATTGAATGCTTATTGTGAAGTATGTAGTCCATATAAATAATGCAGCCAAAAATGTATTTTTAAAGAAACCAAAGCCACAATTACAGTAGGAGAACTTGTCAGTCTTCTTACTGATGGGTGTAAATTTTAATGTAAGATGATATATTTCATATTGCATGATATTCTGAAATCTTTCTAATGTGTAAAGAAAAAAAAAAGTAAAGATTGTATTGCGATTATATTTGAGATACAAAATGAACTAAATTCAAATCTAATTACAATGGACAAAGGACTTTTTTTTCACGCATTTTAAAGCAAGTGTTGTATTTATAGATTTTATCTCTGATAATTTTGACCAAAAGCAAATTTGGAACTTGGGTAGCTGCAAGAGAGGACACTGGAAATCCTGGATGCCAAAAAGAAGCAGAAGAATCATAGTAGTGAATGTAATATCTCTTATTTTCTTATACTATGAGCAATATAACATTTAATGGTTCCATAAAAATGTCCAACAGTGTTTTCAGAAATACCCTATTATGGGTCACATCATACTTTTGAGAGCTATTGTTTAGAGTTTATTGTTTCAGTTTGGGCAAAGTTCCATTGGCTTGGGTATGAATCTTTAGGATGAAGAGTTGCAAGCAAATAGTGGAAAAAAAAAAGGTGAAAGGCTCTAGCTGGAATGTGGATTCTTGGAATCAAGTTGAGTCAGTGACAATCATGTGATACAAGGGCCTTGATGGTGCTTTTTCATTTCATGTCAGGCTCACAGTGTGGAATTTGGTTGTTTGGGCCTGTAATGTGAAGTGAGGGGGAAGAAGAATGTGTAAAACAGATTTGCAGACATAAGGGAGGACATAATTTGACCAAATACAGCAAAATCAAAATACAGTAATTTAATTAACTGCAGAGAGTTTTACTTTCATGGAATTAATTCAGTAATTGCTGTGTTGCTGTGTCCCAGTCCCTGCTGTGCCCCTGGCACTGCCAAGTAGGTGTAGAGAACAGAAAGGTGCCCCTGTATATTCTGAATGCCAGCTTGCAAATGATACTGGGTCTGTTTCTGAAGAGCCAGGTTGTTCTGACTTTTGAGAGGCTGCACCTGCACTTGTTAATGAGGCTCATTCCACCTTGTTCTTCTCTTGCCTCACACTTGTGAGTGTCCATATTGCATCAGTGTTTTGAAATGTGTCATAAAGTTTTGGAGACAGAAGCTTTATCACACTCTTAAAAATGATATCTCAGAAATGGTCCTATAATTCATATGCATTAGGGAGATACGGGC